TAGTGAAATAAATGAACTTTGCACGATATTCTAATTATTCGAGTTTCACCTGTATATCTAAATATAAGAGGCACGTTTATTCTTCCTTGAATCTTGGTGAGCATTGTGTATTTCTTTTAAATAAGTTCAATAACCCAGCATGAAACTCTGCCTCTGTGCAGTAGCTTCCTGTGATAAAGACCAGTCATTTCTGCTCTCTCTCCTTGTGTAGGGTGACTGGTCTTGTATCCACCCCCTCATGTAGTTTTTTTGCATTCAGCCTGTAGTGGGTGGGGCTTGTGGGTTCCCTCCCTCAGCTCCAAACTCTGTACAGGCTATGTGCAGCACAATTATTATGTCACTGCTACTTTAATATAACTGGGTTTGCAAAGGCATTTGGTGCACACAAAGTAGGTTTATATGCTTTGTGGTTATATAGAAATATATTGCCTGGAGTGCAGCTTTAAATGTATTTTTTAATGCATCCTGCAATTCATTGTACAGCAGAACTATATTTATATACAGTATATGTAGCTTTTTGTACCTCGGGGGCTGTATTTGACCACATTTAGAAAAAAAGCACAATAAAAGAGAAAGCCATATGCTAACCATTTTTTACCTGTCAACTAAATATGCAGCACACACATAGAAGAGATGATAATTACAGGTATCAAACATATGAAAGCACTGTATGGAACAGTCAGACTCTGGTACAGACACACTTCAGTCTGGAAAGTCTCCTGATCAGATTTCAAGGCAAGGAGAAGACAGAAGACAGAAATGCTACATGCCAGCTAGAGAGGCCACTGACCCCTAAACCGATTTAACAATAGAAGATCAAATGTACTGGAGGTGATGGATTTTACATTCCAGCATGCAGCAAAACAGGCTGCAGCTTCACAATACTTTGTTGCTTTATTGTCATTTAATATGCTCTAGATTATAGGTGTTATTACATGTTTTTATCTACTATATTTATTATACTTTGTCAGGTTACAAGGTTTTCACTCTATTCATACGGGAAGTAAGGGGGTTATTCACTAAAGAGCCGAAGGATCCAGCTGTAGCTTTGGCTGATCCTTCGGCTCGCTTGGGCCGCCTCGGCCCACCGGTTCAGTCGAACCGAAGGGCAGCTGTACGGGCTATTCACAATAGCCGTACAGCAGCCGAAAGCAGTCGAGCCGAATGCATATGCCGTAGTGGAGGCGAAGCGTGGAGAAAGGTTGGCCGAATTTTTTTTTCTTTCATTAATTTCACTTTTTTCTATTCTGCTCGCTACCTCGGAGGTGCCGAGCCTAATGCCACTCACTATGAAAATAGGGGAAAACGGCAGCGAGCGAGCTACCGGTGCTTTGGCTCAGCCGAGTCAGAGTCGAAGTCCTTCTGCACTTTGGCTCAGCCGAACAAGCAGAGCATTGTGTTTAAAAAAAAATTTAAAAGCTGCAGCATCAAAAGTATGCCAGACATGAAGGAGTCTCTGCGGCTGCAGGTGGGTTTATATGGGTTTGAATTAAAAAACAAAAATAAAATAATGATAATAACAACAACATGCAGGTCAAAATGTGTTCTTCTGCACAAAAGGTACCCTTTAAATAAGCTTGTCAATTTTTTTTCATTGTCCCAAGGTCACCATCACCAAAAGCAATACTACATTGTATTTTTATAGGCATATACAGATATGAATGTGATGCATTTTAAATAATCTTATCAATGTAAATTGCTCAATGTCTATATACACTCATCATTGTTTATTTTTAAATGAATGTTTCAAAGTACAGTTTGCAAATAAAGATATATAGATACATATCTATATAGAAACACATCTATACATACACACACACACACACACACACACACACACACACACACACACACCATTGCAAGCATTATGTTGTCTCCCTTTACATTAGGAGTCCCCTCCTTCACATCAGCCCCCCATCACTTCAGAGTCCCCACTTCATATCAGGAGCCCCCTTCACATCAGAGTCCTACCATCATATTAGGAGTCCCCTTCAAATCAGGAGCCTTCTTCACATTTCACATAAGTCAACCCCCCCGCCCCAACCTCCACATCAGAGTCCTACCATCAAATCAGGAGCCATCTTCACTTTAGAGTCCTATCATCCTATCAGGAGCACCCTTAACATCAGGATCCCTCTTCACATTAGTCCCCCCCTCCACATCAAAGCCCTACCATCATATCAAGAGCCCCCTTCACATCAGAGTCCTACCATCTTATCAGGAGACACAACTGTGGCAACAAGGTAGAGGGCAGGAGAGGGAGCAGGCCTGGATAGAAGTGAAAAGTTCTGAGGACAAAGTCCAAAGTTCCAGCGCTCGCCAGGGGGAGGGGAATGGATCAAAGTTTTCTGTGATTAGGTGTGCAGCCCCTGGTTTGTGTGGACCGTGGTGTCCGACATGTATATATGGATGGAAGTGACCTTCTGTCCTTTTAATCAATAGATCCCGCCCTCCCTGGAGTCATTCTTTTCAAGGTGTTTTTCGACCACCTGCACCATAGCAGAGCATGATGTGATGTGAAAATGTTAAGGCACCCCTGAGAAAGCCAGAAGGCACCCAAGGCCCCATAGCACCCTGGTAGAGAAAGGCTGATCTAACCTTCAAAACAGCTTTGACTATTAATATCAACATTGGTGCATATGACTGTTGCTATCTCTGCACCAATAGAAAGAACAGATGATTGGTTGGTCATTTCTATACTAGCTCTATGAACTTTTTTTTCTCCCATAAGCAGTTAATGCCATCAACACTTGACAAAGCTGTACATACTAGAGTACATATAAATACTGATGTCTTTAAGTATAAAAGAACCTACAAGTAACTGCAAATCAAAGTACATATTTTTCTGCCATACAAATGCGGGCTGTGTTTTTTTCAAGATAATCATGTACACCATCTACATAAACAAGAATGCAGAATCCCAATGAGCAATATCGTGATAAAAATATCAGCCATGTGTGCAATGGGTCATTATCTGGGAAGATTGGTTATCGGAGAACAAGACCCTTAGGGTTGATCTGCATGTGGTCTCCTGGGATGCAGAACAGGGAGGGTCATGGAAAAAGAACGTTCACATATGTTTATGATTTAGCATCATGTGCTGGGAACAAATGCCTTCCAGACAGTGCTGAGTTTGCTAGCAGCCTGGAAGGCAACACTAAAAAGGGAAAATGCAACAGAAGAAATTACCAACTTCTAGCAGCAACCCATTAAATGATGGCTCTCTTATAGCCAAGCCTCTGGTAATGACATTCAATGCATAACAGAAGTGTTGATAACAAATCCCTATATACAGTGGGTTCAAAACTTGGTTCCTGCTGCAGTTATATAAATGGCTGCGGAATTATCCCGATGATGGGGCCAAAATAGATATTGCAGTATTTTATGGCATTATACATTCAACCATTCAGCAGTGATTGTTTCTAATATGAACTAAGATTGCAACATTAGTCAGTTTTGATGCTGCATTCTTCAGCCGCCTTTCTCCCATTCAGGAGAATGCTGAATCTTGGGGCTGGCACTGGAGATTCAAACATGAGCACAAAGTATAGTACAGACCCATAGACCTAACATGGGTCTGTACAGCTTATTTTTACACTCTCCAGTATATGAGGTCTGAAATATAAGGTCCCTTTCACATGGTTGTCCTCAGTTCTGATCAGCAGGGGATCCGTGCTGATCAGATGTTACTCTTCCAATACCCGTGTCTGTCTAGTTTTTTCCTCCATCTTGCAATGGAGGTAAAAATGTACTGTACAGACCCATGTTAGGCCTATGGAATTACCTGCTCAAATTGCTCAAATTTGGCAAACAGTCCTTCCCCTTGGCCAACATGGGTTAAAATAATAAAATATATATGCGGTAAAAGTGCAGTAAAAGTGCAAAAGTTATCAGATGCAGACAGTGACCATAGGCAACCTTCATATATCCACTGCAACCTACAGCTTAGACAGCAATCTCTTGATTGCTGCTTACATATCCCTGGCCTCTATAGCATGCATGCATGCCCCTCTACATGTTGATGGACAAGCCATTATATAAAATGAGCTTTGGGGTGCAGTCCAGTGCGTTCCAGTGCATTTGCATACATTTTTATACGTTTACATGCATTCCAGAGCAAAGAACATGAGACAAGCAGTATTTTTTTTGTCTGGACCGGAATGGACTGCGCTGGTGTGAACAGAGCCCCAAAATACCATAGGTATACATTAGGATGCATTTTTGGACCGGGAACAAACTGTTCTGGTGTGGACATGGTCCGGACATGGTGTGAACAAGTCCTAAGGGCAGATTAAGCCATAGTCATTTACTTCCTGGAACTCTGACACATGTGACTAGGACATGTGACCATGCAAATAATCTCAAGGGAGAAAAATGCCTTTTCCTGAGATTTCAAGGGAGATTTCCCATCAATGCTCTGCTGATGTAACCTTCCCAGGATGCCACGCTTGGACACATTACATAATTTGTGCCAGAAGAGAACCTAGGAAGTAGATGAACTCTATTTGTAAGCAAATGAAAAACATGTTTTTTTAGCTAATGAATGTAAATTGATTTTATATCAGCATGCAGAGCTTTATGTTGATGCGATTTTTAGTGAAAGGGGGTAAATGTCCACTTTAAGGAGGGCCCTGTGGATGAAATGTTCACCATAGTTTACCCTGTCTGTACTGTGCTGGCAGATCTCATCAATTGTTGTAAACTAGTTTTGAACACTGTCTGTCCTAACAAACAGTTAACCATCTCACGGCTTGGGTGGTACATTGTATGTTAATACACATTTCCCCAGTCTGTCCCTCTAAGTGCACTTTGAAATTGCTCAAAGCAGTCTGCCCAGAGGCTTGCTGCAAGAAAAACAACTAGAAAGGTACGATTTTTTGTGTTAGCTCTGCTGTGTGAACGGGACAACCTAACAAACATATAGGTGGGTTTCTCAAATTTAACTACAAAATTGGAAATACACTTTAAATACAAAAAAACTAAATTAATGGAATTCATACCTTTATATTTTTAATCCTTGCTATTTTGTCGTCGACATTCAGTATGACTCTTGCTCCTTCTGCAATCTCTCTGAAAAAAAAAGGATTTGAGAGTATAAAAGTTAATTCCAGGTAGTATTATAGTGTATATCTGTCCTTACAAAAAATGATGACAGTCATTAATGAAGATGTAAAGTCCCAGCATATACACTGAGTGGCCAGATTATTATGACCACCTGACGTTTGTAGGCAAATTAGCTATAATTAGCTATAATTTCGGGCTGACGTTGCTAGAGAGCCAGACCATTATAAATAGGGAAGCGGGTTGTTTACCACGACAGTAGAAGTGATTTTTTTCTGAAGATATGGGTAAACAACGCGATTTAACAGCCCTCTCCCTCTCTGCTCTGGCTATGGAATATCTCATGGTATCCTCACATTTGATGCATGTGAATGGACCTGCATAAGACATGATGACATCACGGATCCTTAGACCACTGGGGCCCGGGGGAGAAGAGGCTGTGCAGACCAGTCTAACAGCCAGGAAGGACTGAGGATCGGGTAAGTAATACAGCTTTATTCCCCCTAGACCAGCGGTTCTCAACCTGTGGGTCGCGACCCCGTCGGGGGTCGAATCACGATTTGCCAGGGGTCGCCGGGGAGTCTCCCGCTATTAGATAGTGGCTCCCAGACGCCCGGGAGGGAAACACTTTCTCCCGGGAAGGTTTACTCTGCTCAATCGAGCAGACTAAACCTTTCCCTGCGATCAGGGTTTTTTTTTTTTAATGACATCGGGGGCCGCCGGAAGTCAGAAAAAAAAACAACCCACCATATGAATGCATAGCTAGATTCCTATTGGCTATTTCACTTTGCAATAGCCAATAGCAAACTAGCTATTGCAGCCGCCCTCTGCTGCTGCCAATCAGCAGAGGGGGACCTGAAGTTCTCCATCAGGTCCTCTTCTAGTGATTGACAGCAGCAGAGGGCGGGTGCAATAGCTAGTTTGCTATTGCAAAGTGAAATAGCCAATAAGAACAATAGGAATCTAGCTATGCATTCCTATGGTGGGTTTTTTGTTTTTTTTTAATTCTGACGGCGTACGCCAGTGGTTCTCAAACTGTGGGTCGCTGTGCGATTTCTGCTGTGCTAGGTGAGAGTCCTCTTCAGCCCTCTCCTAGCGCAGCAGTGTCAGTTCTCCCGCCACGCCGCCAGATGTCGCTGCAGCAGCCACGTCATCCCTAAATTTTATCGTTGGGGGTCACCACAACTTGGCAAATGTTACCAAGGGGTCCCGGCACTAGAAAGATTGAGAACCACTGATCTAGACCAAAACGAGCACTTAACCCTTCCAGTGCGGTTATAGCCCACTATGTACTTTTTGTTTGTTTGCCTGGAGTTCTTCTTTAAATATCCAACGAGTGGTGGCATCTCCGTGGGTGGAAACCCCTTGTTAGTGAGAAAGGTCAGAGGAGAATGGCCAGTCTTGTTCAGGCTCCACTACTGTTCACAATATTACACTATACAAAAGTCTTGGGCAGAAAGGCAAATCTAAATATTCAAGTAGTTAACACGTATCAGAAAGAAGAGTTCTCGCCTCAAACTAATATCAAACACGGTGATGGAACAATTCCCTTCTGTGCGGAGAAGAAGAAACAATCCCGAAGAGAGGGGGGGCCTGAAAGGACTTATTATCACTCTGGAGTTGACCAGGTATTTTTACTATCGGCAGTTCTGCAGTGAATATAGATTATGAGCCATTGTTCCAAGGCCTCGGCCCAAACACTGATTCACCCCTTTAACAGAAGTCATGTGTGTCAGTGTTCCAGCGTTGGCTCACATCAGAAGCACCGAAGGGAGCTCATGGCACTGTTTTTCACAAGAATAGTATTTTAATGCTTCTTTAGCCACATCATTTATGACAATCAGGATGATCAAGATAGCAGGAGCTTGGTGTTCAGGTATAGATCTATCTTCAAATAAACCTGACATGAGAAAAATGCTGATCCCTCTCTCTGAAAATGTTAGTTGCCTGGCTGGAATGTTGCTGCTTTGTCTTTGGACTTTGAAAAAACACACAGAGAAACATTTTTTTTCCTCTAACTTCCATTTGCTAAAGGCCTTTCTGGGTCTGTGACTCAAAGCCAAACACAGCCCATGCAGCAGTATTTTCAGGGTAACATATTTTCTCTTTAAAGCGTAGGTGTGGGTGAGATCTGGGCATATATTTTCACAAGGCAGACAGGGTTATTACTTCAGCATGTTGGCTTGGGAGCTTACCACAAAACAGGGGCACCTACGAGAAAAGGAGGAAGGAGGGGGGTGGGGGAGATCCATTAGCAATCAGGTCAATGAAACTGGTAAACAAAAAGGTACTAAGAGTTCAAAGTATTTATTTATTCATTTGATGACAGCCAGAAAACCATCCCACCGCCAACGCGTTTCGGGTGCCAAAACATCTCCCTTCAAAATGCAGATGAGTGCTAATCTTCATGCTGCTATTCGTAGCATCATTATACCTATTAAGGGTTCTTCCCAATCTCTTCTCATTCCAGAATGAGTCTTTACCAATCCTGCTACTTCACTAAGCCCAGATGAAGGGTGATCCCGAATCGCATTGCCGGTGTTTTGTTTTTCTGGCTGTCATCCTGATTAAAGACCTTAGACTCTTAAGGCCTTTGCTTAGCTCTCTCATTGATCTAACAACACATATTGGTGACATACCTCTGACAGGTAGAATTTAAAGCTTACTGAAGCAAGAAAGAAGGTGGATCAACAGCCACTTGTTACCCTAGTAACCTTTCCTAAGAGGTTTCCAACATCTCATTTCACATGACTCCAAAAATACGAGATTTTAAAATCGCACACAACCGTACAATGAGCTACCAGCCATTTATGTACCAGCCAAATAAATACCCAGCACTACAATGAGCTACTAGACATTTCTGCATTGAAACGGCTTTCCTCACCTCTATTAAACATTGTCCAAAACCAGTTCATTACATCATTTATTCCACACAGCTGTTGGAATCACCAACTATACTATAATAGTCAAAGTGCTGAGAAACCCCAAAATGAACTTTTTCCTTAAAACGGAACTCCAGGCAAAGATAAAAAAATTAAAACTGATTAGGAAAAAGAATCAGCATGATAGCCAGGAAACTAACATTCTCTAAAGGAGTGGACAGCAAAGGTTGTCGGTAATGGTAATCAGCAATGGTGGTCGGCAATACATAATTCTCTGACAGCTGTATTTTAACTTCTTGTCATTTTCACTGCCCAACCTAGTAGAAGAAAAGAGCATTGGCACTCTAATTCTTTTACAGGGTTGCATGAAGGGTTTTTATGTGCGACATTGTCCCACTTTTAAAAGTCCCTTGCTGTCTTCAGTTCCATTGCAAGAGAATGGACGTAAAGATGTCAAGGGTCCTTAGACCACCGGAGCCCAGGGGAAAAGAGACTGCAAGGATCAGTCTAGCAGCCAAGTGCGATTAAGGATTGGGCGAGTATATAATTTTTTATTTTAGACCCTAGACAAAAACAAGCTGTTAATCCTTGCAGTGCAGGAGATTGTAGTAGCCCCACTGCAAGGGTTATTTTTGCCATGAGTTCTTTCATAAATGAGTTTTCATGGGATTAGTAGAGAAAGCAGTCAGTAGACCCTATTAAAGAAAACAAATACAAGAAAACTTGGCTAGTCTTCAGCAGTCAATGACAGTGAGGGTAAATTGGGACTGAGATACTTTGTTATTTCTGCTGGAACGCATCCAGAGAAACATCTGTTTCACTGCTTCAAAACATTGGTATTTCCGGGCAAGTAACGGTCACAGATCTTTGAAATGAACTGCGTTCAGCCTTACAGTTCTGAAACCGACGATGCACAGTTCAGCATTTTATGAAACTTCCCGCTTGGTAGCAGCAGATGCTAAATACAATTCCTTGTCTTTTCCTTCTGCCCAGTAAACATATCAATAAACTTGTCTATATTGTTCATATATGGATTACAAACCTGGGCAATGTTTTCTACCGAGAGAGCAATAAAATTCTCAACGGATTACACTGGAAGCATCGCAGATGTTATTCTAAAACGTTTTGTCCTGAACCGGCAAACAGGAATCCCCGAACAGGACCACCGCGGTTATTCTGTTCTGACCAAATATGTCATATATGATTCTTGTGTCCGGAATACATTCTAATTCACAAGAGGAACATTAAATCTGAAATGTTACCAATTTACACATTTAATAATTTTATTGTGATCTGTTGTGTATTTTATTTACAGATAGTAAGAATAGTTAAGTTATGGTTTAGTTATTCTGGAAATAGGGAGGGGGTTGTTACTTACAGACCGGATTCAGACCTGTCTGCTGCACTGCGATGCCACATGCACCATAAAGGAGAACTCCAGGAAATCCAAAAATGAACCCTTGCAGCCTCTTCTCCCCTGGCCTCCACCAGCCTAAGGATCTGTGACGTCATCATGTCTAAGAGCCCATTAATAGCCGGGCGGTTGCGGATCAGCGTGGTTACCGCTCTGATCTCGCAAGGGAGGTTTTGGGAGTTTTAATTGCGTTTCAATGCTGAAACAAAATTAAAAAACACACAAAATTGTGCTGATCAGCGTGGTTTCATTGAAACCTGTATGGAAGCCGCACTGATCAGCGCTGCAAAAATAGTGCAGGGAGCAGTTTGGGCAGGGGGCAGTTCGGATCGCGCTGACCCATAGACCCAATGTATGGGATCGATCGGATCCAAGAGGCCGAACCGCCCCGGTGTGTACGGGGTCTAAAGCAGCTGCATTTGACGTAAGGACGCCAAGGCACTTTCAGCAGGCTGCCCTGCGGGCGACAAAAACTGCAAAGAAGCTCATGCAGCAGTTTGAGCTGCGTGATTCGTGCATTTTTTGACGTTTACATGCATTGACAAGCATTTTGCCTGCCATTAGCAAATAATGGCACCGCAAGCAGGACATGAGCTTTTTACGCATTGCATGAACACAAGCAAAGGCACACGCATTTGGACACATTCCCTGAACTGAATAGCACCAACCGTCCTCTGATCAGTTGACTTGTTGCCTGGAGTTGCCCTGCAAAC